GGGGGTGGGGCTCACCCGGCTCTGAAGGCTGGAGCCACGTGGGGGTCTGAGCCACCTCGAGTGAAAACTGGGGGCCCCACCTTCTAGAGGGGACCCTCAGCCCTTTTCTTAGCCGTAGTTCAGAAAGACTGGGGTGAGCACCAGGCGCCCATCCTGAGGACGCATTACTCTGTCCGGGGCTTTAGGTTGCTGGTTGATCACGGCTCATTCGGACTTAGTCCTGATGCCCTGGCTCACTTTTCAGTGTTTTTTACATCCGAGTCCTCTGTCAGATCATTGCATTCTGGCTTAACTGGAATAGCTTTTATGAAGTCCTCCTGCCTGGAGAGCATTCGATCAGGGGGTGAGACTGCAGCCCAGGAGATGGTCCTAAGCAGGCAGAGGGCAAGAGGGAGTAAGGTGAAGAGAGGGAGCTGCGCCCCTCTTCGTGTCCTGGTGTCTTGAAGTTTTGTCTTTGGATCTCATAACTTTCCTACCTGCAGGGAAAATGAGAGAAGTTGAAATGATAGGATGTGGACCAAAAAGAGACTTTTTAAAAATTTGCAAACTATTTCTATCTTGGAGTTTGATTTCAGGAGGGAACTGAGCAAAGGGAGCAATGGAGAGCCTTGGGAATTAGCTAGTTTCCCCTGGGACAGTTTTTCAGAGACATGGTAATTATATTACAAATGAGACATGAACTCACAGCACATCCGAGGTGCTTGCCCTTGACTGGGAATTGAACCCGGGACCCTTCAGTCTGTGAGCACAGCAGTGGGCGCCACAGCACTCTAACGCCCCGAATGAGTTACTCTGCCCTGATGTGTCATAGCTACTTCTATGAACAGTTCGGCAAGAAGGCCGAGGTAGTCATAAAAAAAATGGATCCAGTGACATCCTGTTGACACGTAAGAGCAGGTGCCCTTTAGCCACGTGCAGCGGGCCTTTGTCACTGCAAGCGGCGGTCCTGGAGCCACGCAGGCAGCTTGAAGAAGGAAGTCAGCGTTTGGGAGACGAGGGGCCGGGTGGTGGCGATGGCGCACTGACTTCGCGATCGCACTTCTGGTCCGGGACCCTGCAGTCAGGAAGCAGTTGGGGATATGTAGTGTGTGCCACAAGATAAGCGACTGTGCACAATTAAGCTTAGTATCTCTGTTTCTTTACATTTCTCCAAAACCTGGTGGTATCTCATTTCTTCGTGGCCAGTGTTTGGGCACTGGCCAGGTCAATGGATACAGAATTTCTACTCACCTCACACCAAAAAAAAA